TGTAGCTCATCGCAGCTCTAACAGTAGCTCTTTTGCAGGTGTTTAATTTGCTTGCAATCAATTAATTCCTTTTGTCTCTTAAAACTTCTTATTCTTTGTTTTTACTTGCATACTACTTATGCAAAATAGGAAAGGAATAAGTAAGAAAAAGTAAAACAGAATATGAAAAGGTTATATATTTTACAGTAAATATGACTTTAAGAAAATGTTGGAAGTAATTTTGTAATTCCCGCGTTGTTTAATATAAGTGGACCTTTCAAAAATTAATAAAGTATATGTACTTTTATCAGAGTTAGATATTCCTTTTTGCTTTCCCATATTTATAAAGCCTAACGTTATTAAATGCAAATGTACTTCTCTAATAAATAAATAAATCGCAACAAAATTTTCTGAAGCAAAAGTCATCTTAATCAAACTAAGTTGATTTTGCGTGAAAAATCACTACTAAATAAAACGCTATATTTTCTTATTGCCTTTATTATTATGTTGCACTTTTTAAATGTTTTCCAAAATTAATGCCTCAAATTAAAATAAATTTTACAAACTATTTTCATGATTTTTGGATTTACCGTATTCCTCGCGTATTGTTCCAAATTTTTCAACTAATTTTATCCTCCAAAAATCCAAATTTTGTGATTAATTTATTTTCAGAAGAGGGACATAGAAGAAACAAAAGAGAATGGGCACAAATAAAAGACCCGTATTAAACACGACGGATTTCGAAAGATTAAACACGACAGCAGTATAAGTCTGTAATGAACTGGAACGTAAATAACAGAAGTAAGTTGAAATCATATGTTTGGAAAGTTTCTTAAGTGTGAGAACACGTACCACGTCCCGGAGACTGAACGAAGAATCTTCATAAAATATGTTTCAAGTAATAAATTGAAGGGAAAATAAAATGGATGAAATACTAATACAAAATTGAAAGAACAAGTTGAATATACTTACTAAAAATAAAAATAATCAAAGAGTAATTCCGCAATAAAATAGCTCTCAGAGAAAAAAAACTATTTACGATAAAAATGAGGGGAAATTTATGCGAATATTTTTAAAATTTTCAGAACCTAGAACTAACAAAATAGGGAAGGGAAGGAAATACGATAATTCAAGAGAAATTTCTGCAATGGCATAAATTATTTTTAAATCTGCAATACATTTAAAAAGTTGTTTTCAAAATTTCAAATATGCTATAAAAACAAAACATGCTATTCAAAGGAGTTTTTCTTAAATATAAATAATATTTGCGTGAATTTTATTAATTTTTTCAAAATTTATATAATTAATTATTTAATTATGAAAACTTGTATACGCGTATTCTTAATGATTTACAGACAAAAAGTATTAAAAATACATAATACTTTCTTATTATGATAATGATTTTATTAGTTCACTCATTAACAAAATAACTAAAATTTTTAACTGAGAATTAATCACGTTATAAATCTTACATGTGCTTCTATTATTACATAATTTACAGAAAAAAGTGCAATGGTAATAAACATTGTCCAGTAAAGTAAAGACTCTTTGATGGTCTCCCTCTTTTGATGATTTCCATTGATGGTTATAATTTTAGAATTTAATTCTATAACAGTGACATTGAGTGCAGCTCTGTGATGTTCACAACAGATGAAAATAGCTTTGGTCATTACTTTGTATTGCGTTTTAATAATCTGTAACAACTTTTATCCATAATTATGACATACAGATTCTTTTAGCCTTTAGATTAACTGATAAAAATAGCTGACGTTGTAAATACAACATAGTGCCTATCATTTTGTCGTATTATTTAATGGAAATTTTAAAAACAGAGATATTTAATATTAGCAAAGTCATAGAATAAGTTAGAAATATTATTCAGTTAGGAATAGCTAACAGAATCATTCGTGCTGCAAACAAAACATAATTACATTAAACTAAAGAATATAAACAAATGCAATTAACAATTAACATGAAGAACACACTTTATTAAGTAGAACATTTGGCTGAATACTGCTTATACAGACAGTTTATCAAAGTGTTGATGCAAACAGTACGCTAATAACATTACCCTGCATCATATACCGACAAACATATAAAAATACAGTAAACAAATATACTTTAGAGCCCTCTTGAAAGTTAATAATGCTGATATAATCATTCACTTAATATATTGTTCTTTATAAAAACCTCTTTCTCTCTAAATGTATCTCACGTACTATTCGAGGAAAAGAAATTAAACTTAGAAGAACATGAGCTTTAATTAATTTAATTAATAGAATCATCTCCATATTAATTTCAGTGCGTGATTAAGGTGTTTCTTGTTGCAAGAACATTTAAGCGTAAGGCTTTGGTATTAAAATATGTTAAAATATTTATGTTTAAATTTTAAAGACCTGAAGAACTTTAATGTTCGAGAAGTTAAAGTAAGCATATTTTAGAGATCGAGTTCTGTAGTAATCTGCTTAATATGGTACTTATACATTACTGCATTAATACAATAATATATTTAGTGTAATTTGAATGTAAACATTTCACCCTCACATCTCAATTGCAATAATATAATGACTTGATTGAAACCGTCATTCTTCCGAAATATACTTCACAAGATTTATAAATAACTCTAAGAGAAATTATCATTGAATGTGCAACATAAATTTAAAGTTAGTTAGTTGTAAGAATATGCACTTGATTAATGGTTAAGATTAGCAGGAATATGCACTAAAATGGCAATCGAATACATTTTAAAGGTTTTCACAAAAACACAATTGAATGTTGTTAATGCTGCTCTAATCTAGCTCATCACGCTGTAAATATTCTAATGATTGTCACTCATAAATAAAATATTTAGTTTTAATTTCTTTCCCGTAATTCCTAACTTGCATCTCTAGAACATGAGCCAAACTAGTAAACGACATTTTAGAAGTATTACATTAATATTTGCATTAGGGCTATATTAGCATTCTTATTCACGTAAATACAAAAAGAGTTCATTGTAAATATACCTTTAAAGATCATTAAGATGGAGTGGAAGTTTCCCGTACTTAAGTACTTTTACAAAACATAAATCGCATTTCATTATTTAGAAGCATTTTGATAGAGTCTCAACATCATTAGACACACGAGGTAAAATATCTCGAATCCAAGAAATAGATCGTCAGAATTGGAATTAAGAATTAATTGAAGGAAAATGCCTTTAGCAATATCGCAGGCCTTTTTTTGCCGAAAGAGCTTTTGCTTTAGTTAAAATCGAATGCCAGTTTAGTTGATTTCTTTTTTTAGCTCAGAGTGTCTTAGAAAGCAGTATAGTCAAATAGCCAAAAATTCTTCTTCAATTAATCTCTAACGCGCATATTGTTCGTCCATTTTACTTACTCTATTCAGCATTAATGTTAATGTTTGGTTCTTTCAGCACTATTTATTATCTTCAGGAGAAATCCCTAAGATAAGGAAAAGTTCTCTTCGATAAAAGATATTAATTAGTATATAGTTTACGAAATGTCAAAATGGCATCCATATCCAGCGTATAAGCGAATGTATTTTCAATCAGATTTCGCTGTTTTCTCTTCGAAAATATTTCTAAAGTTCTTGAATTCCAAATAACATATTTCTATTAAAGCAGATCAAATTATTTATAATTAAAACATGAGCTTTAAATCCTTTCATACTATGTAGGATTACCTTCATTCTGGCAATTTTAGTGCAGACTTTCTCGTCCCAGAGGAAAGAAAATAGGGAGCTGTGCAACCAGAATTCGATTAAATGCATTCAAGCGGCGAACTATTTTTACTGTTCTTCTTAAAGTATAAGAATATAGGATGCAGCTGCGAGAGCCAAAGTGCTTTTTAAATAATATTTTAATATTACTTCTGAGTGGCAAAAATCTTATCAATAAACATATTTCCTCTGTTATAGCAATTATTTCTTATCCATAAATATTAGTGTTATATTTATATTCTACAAATGCATGCATGACACTAAAGAACGAAAACGGAATCCTTGGCCCTATGGTAATTAAGTTAATGTATCGTAAACAACCAGATCAGAGAAGTTCCCTTAATCTGACAAGGAATGGCTGATAGTTTTAGCATATAGTAATACTATAGCAGATTTTTAAACACTTCTTGTAATGAGTATTAAAATCCAAGAGCCTTTAAAGGAGTTTCAAAAATGCTCTTCCTGGAAAATACTGTCGTCAGACAAGCGCATGTGTCAGCAGTAAAATTTTTTAAAAAATTGTCACATTAAGGCAATGTTTCTGCCCTCCAATATAACAGTCATGTGCCAATATGTACATCAAGGCGTTTTCAAAGTGATATAAAGAAACTATCACACGAAGATATTGTCTACAGTGGTGGCAGAAATTGAAGAAGGATAAGACATGGTTGAAACATTGAAACTCAACAATATAAAAGGTGTTAATTCAGAAGTCAAACAACAAAAATCAGCGTTATACCTACAAAATTTTCACAGGACTAGTTTCGATGGTTTTACCGAACCATCATCTTCAGCTGCAAAACCGCAAATATTTGCAAAACCATTTGCGGTTTTGCAGCTGAAGATGATGGTTCGGTAAAACCATCGAAACTAGTCCTGTGAAAATTTTGTAGGTATAACGCTGATTTTTGTTGTTTGACTTCTGAATTAGTATTTATTCGGCGTGTTATTGTGTCTTAATTATAAAAGGTGTTGTTTATTTTGATTGCACGGGTCTGAGATGACGTACAACAACAATCGGGTACTACAACAATTTCCAAATCATGGACGAAGCTGCTAGACGAATACGAAGGTATGAAAATAGCACAGACGAAACCATTTTACCTTTAATTCAATTCATCCTTGGATGTGAAGATTCATCGGAAACTCTATAGATATGCTCATTTTAAAATTATTTTGCGATATTTGACATATAATTTTATGGTTTAAGTGCGAAGAACATGATATTTAATAAATAAAGGTAACACACAAAATGTTTAAAAACGCCCCTTTGGACGTAATTTAAAATCTGAAAACCTTTCCGATTTTTTTTTTTTTTTTTTTTTTTTTTTTTTTTTTTTTTTTTTTTATTTTTAAGTTTTTTTTTTTTTTTTCAATTTATTGTTCCTGTTTTGTTTGAAGTTTAATTAGGCCTTTTTCCTTAACACATTCCTATTATCCCACAATTTCGCTTATTCGAGGTTCTGCCTGGCTGTTTACGTCGGATAAGCAAGACTCTGCTGTAAAACCTTTGAATCCGAACATTACAATCTTTTGTGTTTCCAACATCTCACTGTCATCAGTTGTTCATCCATTTAAAACTACGTTTCACTTAACTAGTATATTTATGAATAGTTCACAATTACCTGTTATTCACAACTTTCTGAAAACTTAACTATCATAGTATTATTTATATGCTTCCCTTTCAGATGTTGTAACATCAATAAAACAATGACAACAATATTCCAAAAAAAAAAAAAAAAAGAAAACTAACCTTTTGCTTTTGGAACAAAAGCTTTGGGCTTCGAATCTTCTGCGTGACTTCTAGATTTATTTTCAGTTAAACATATCTTAATGCTATGTACTAACTAAAACCTTGACTTTCATTTAAGTAAGTAGTCAAATTCATTCAGGTCTCAAAAACGTTTACAAGTTCTTCAAGAATAAAACAAGCGTTTTAGTTTAATACCCGTACTTTCCGTTAACTTTAAAACTGCATTTAATAAACGAAAATAGAACAGTCATTTTTTTCGATTAGTTTGCAAAAGTTATATATAATATGCGTAACGAAATCTAGAAGATCACACGCAAAAATAACAACACTGAATAATAAAATTAATGGCCAGTGCGTCATTTCATCAAATATCTTTCAACTTTTATCTTCTTCTACAATATCTAAAACTTTTCCTGTAGCAAAATCCAAGGTACTATTTTTCCATTCGAGCTTGTATAGGTAATTACATGCATCAGCAGACAAAATCGCCCGTTTTTTCTCAACTTGATATAAGTCATCTGTCCTACATAGAAGCGTAGAAACATTTTCCTTTGACCTAGCGAATAAAATAAAGTGACATTTATGTTACATTTTTAATATAATTGATAAATGAATAAATAATTTAAATCATAATATTTAAATATGTACAGTATTTTATCATCAGTTCACTCTGTAAAAACTATAAATTGTTTTCTGTGCTCTTGTGATTTGGAATATGTCATTGTAAATTCTATAAAAAACATTATATTTATATATATGAAATTAATACATAATATCCTAAAATAAACTAAAAATTGTCTAATGATATTTGAAATATCACATTCAAGAATAACATAAATTTAATTCATTATTTTTGTATGGTCAATTTCTTATCTGTAACATATTTTTACGAATTTTGCACTTAAATGGGTACTTTTAGCACAATTATAGTTAAAATTGTTTTATTTCCCTGTGCAATGCAGAGCGTGACAACTTGTAAGAGAAAGCTACGTCGAAAAACTAAAAATACAAGAGCACATGCATTTAACATTGAATAAAAGTTTATCTCTGTAATTGATATTTAATTTGAATAAATGTAATTGACTATTCTGTTAGATGCAACCACAATTCTATTCTTTTTGCTTTCCAGAAATTGCTAGAACTGTCTCGTGCGGCTGATGAAAGCCGGAGAGAAACATCTCAGCTGAGTGTATAAAGGGAAGGATGTTGTCAAGATGCCTTTATTTCTGGTCAGTCTTCCTAAGACCGAAACGTCTAGGCAAATACACAACGTGAACTATCTCATAAAACTCCGAATTGAAGTTGAAGGTAACAAGAGGAGGCGCGGAATCTCGCATTGTTTCCGCTGCCAATCTTTTTCTCACGCCAAGAATCAGTACCGCCATGCGCTTCGTTGCGTGAAATGTGGTGCGGACCAGGAATCCAAAGATTGCTAAGTTCAAAAGAGGACAGCCTCCACGCTTGTGCCATTGTCATCAGGAACACACTGCTAGTTTCAAAGGTTGTGCCTATTACCTTGAACCAAGGTCATCGCCCATATAGAAGGGAATATCCTACGCTGACCGTGTGATTAATAACAGCAGAATTCAAAGAACAGTTATTACTCTCCCACAGCTTGCTGAGCTAACTTCCAAGCTGAACGTAGCTAATACTGTTATCGGATTACTGCTGCCCTTACTATATTTTCGGATATTGCTTTCTGACCCTGCCGCAGAAATTCTAGCAACAAACTCCAGTGTGAGACACGGATAATAACACCAAATTTCAATGCAGTCCAATAAATATTCTGTTGTGGAATGAGCAGAATATTACAAACAAGATTCCTGAATTCCAACAATTTATCATCCAACAGGACGTAGACATTTGTCTTGTGTCAGAAACTCAGGCTACTCCTAAACATCGTATTAAGCTTGCCAACTGCTCTGTAGCTCCGATTGCTTCATTACCACTGTAGTAGAGCACTAATTTATGTGAAAAGAAATTCTGGCTTTTGTTTTAAGAGCTCCAATAATTCCAATGGATATGAGGCCATTAAAACGGTAGTTAGTCTACCTAAACGCGGCCCAGTCACGTTCTGCGCTGTTTACAATAAACCTGATAACCGATTAACTGCCTGTCACCTAGAAGATTTACTTGATAAGAACCTTCCCACGATATTAGGAGGCGACCTCAACGCAAGCTCGACTGAGATTGCAATAGAGCTAATATCAACGGTCAGGTTGTACACGACTTTATCACTAATCATCCAGTATATATTCGCATTCTAGACGAACCCGCATCTCGACCTAATATGATAAAGAGAAGGAAAGATATCCTGTACTTTTTCATCTCAAAATCCAATGTGCCAATGGCATTATCGGTAATAAATGATATGTCCTCCGATCACGTGCCGCTATTAACATACCTTGGAGTGTGCATGCCAAAGGATACGCCTCCAGAGCAGGTTACGGACTGGGACCTTCACCACAATCTACTAATGAGTTCCATGTTAAATCTTGGAACTCTGAAAACAAAAATGGATACAGACTGCGCTGTCGAGAAGTTTACTGACTTTCTCAAAAATGCCAAAACACTAGCTTCTAGAAATATGGACCGTAATCAGTTTGAAAATAAGCTCCCCCTTAGCATCAGAGAAATCAACACCTACAAAAATCGGCTGCGGAAGGTTTTCAATCATACATGGGATCCGGCTATCAAAACAGAGATCAATTGGCTTAATAGACGTGTTAAGCATTTAATTCAATCTCACAGAACTAGTACATGGAATGACAATATTGAAAAAATTAACCTTGACGGTTGTATGTTAATTCGCGGAAACGCACCATTTCCTGCAGCAGTCCTATAAATAGTGCTGATGGCTTCATCTATACGGACGAAAAAAGCTGAACTTCTTGCAAAACATCTCTCTAGCCAGTTTAGCTCAAATACCTTCCCATCAGATAGTTGTTCGAACCAAAGAATTTCTAGGAAATTGGCTAAACCCACCGTGCGGCTCGCATTCAAATCTATTTACGTCTCGAAAACTGCAGTAAAAACTAACCATGTTTACAATTTTTTTTTTCATTTAGAGTGAACCAAAATTGTCCTGAAAACGGCCTTTGTTAGATTTTCTTCCCCCCTCCTTGTAGGGCGATCAACAAGTCGTTTCACTTAAGTGATGGTTTCCTACTGTCCTTTGATTACCGCCTAGAGGTGATTAAGCAGATGGGCTGCTTTTGCCCTTACGGAGGAAGGAACACGTTTTGTGTCCATGCTTTGGTTAGACGAAAAAAGATATTTTTTTCTGGAAATCCAAAACAGAAAATGAAAAGGTTTTGTATTGCCTTGTTACTAATTTTGTGCATATTTTTAATCTTAATTGCTTATCAGAGCCGTGCCAAGATATTTTTTCACCTGAGGCAAAAAGGTCAATGCGCGTCCATATAAATATAAAAAATAGCTACACTTGTATTAAGCAAAAGTAATTGTATTAAATCAAAATGTCATAACTCTTATAGCATAATTATACCATAATTCTTAAAGTATTTTTTAATCGTAGTTTTATAAATTCAGAGAAATATGTAGCCAATTATTTATAATTTTCAAATGAAAACGTTAAAAAATTCGTTTTTGATAAATAAGAAATAACACTGAAATGCATATTGCATTAATTTCCAGGTTTTCTTGCAATTTTTTTGGTTTGTTTTATTATTGATTTAAGTTTGACGAAGCCTATTTCCCGTAATATTAAAGTTAAGTAATTTTCGAATTCGTATAGCCAATTTGGCGCCCTCTTCTAGTGATTCACATGAGCCCGGCTTTGTTGCTTTTTAGTATTATAAATGTTATTGATTTTTATTGCGTTTCGGTATTTTAATGTACGTTTATAGAAATGTTAATTTGTTTTTATATGCATATTTCAGTAATATAATCTTACGACTAGTGAGACAGTGTAGTTTAACTAATTTTCTGCTTTTGATTCATGTTATCGAGCTTTAACGCTAAGAAAAAATTTATAAGAGGCTTAAAATACCTAATTCCTATTGAAAGCTACATGTAATTGATAATTAAATTACTATTAAAATAACAAACACATGCTCAGTGTCAGTCATTTCGACATAATGTTTGTAATTCATTTTACCACAAATTTATTTCGTTTATCTTGTTTTCATATTTATAAAAGGGAAGTTTACCTTTATCGCATTTATTGGTTGATAGAAGTTATGAAATATTGAATATTTGAAACAAATTTCAGTCATAATAACCTTATTAAAAATTTTCTACATATAGACAAGATGTCACAGATACCTCTCAGTTTCCGAACTAAATTACATGGTACTGAAATTCGGTGCATTTTCATATGATTATTTTTGACAGAAAGAGTTACCTTACGTAAATCACAAAAGAACATTGTTTTAATTCTTAATTAAATATAGCACTTGTATTAAATTGCTAAAATTCATTGTTAGGAAAATCTCGCTCTAAAAAATTAGACACTTTTACCTTTCAAAGTGGAATTTTTGTGGTTTTCTCTGTGCATAATGTGGGGCGAGTAGTAAGTTTTTCTTAGAATGTCCTCCACGGCATTCCTCCCTTTAGGCAGATAGCTCTCGCGTGCTTTGAAGGAAAAATAAAGCAAACCAAAACAAAAGCTTCAAAATTGGTGTTTAAACATTTTTTTTGGGTTCAAATACGCAAATTACTTAGAGATCTCAATTCACATTATCAAATGTTATTATTTAAATAAATAAAAGCAAGCTGAGGATTTCCATTTAAATTGTTTGTTTTAAAATAAAAAATAAGAACAGTAAGTTTTGAATAAATCTTGTCAACATCAAGCAGGGACAGGAACATGCCAATGTAAAATTTAATATTAGGCCAAAAAGAAACGCTTTGACGTAGATTTTGGATAAAACTTAATCAAATTCGCAGGTAGTCAGAGACAGGCCTTTCTTCAGTAGAGAGAAAAAAATGTTTCTGAAGTATTTGTGTATTTATTACATAAATGTTTTAATGCTTCCATAGCACTGCTAATCGATAAAATTTATTTGATGAAAAGTAGGAAGTTTGCTTTTAAAATTCCGATTTTTCAACCTTTTTCAGTGACATATGTGGCATCGAAAAACACGTCTGGCCAGGAGGCAGATTAATGGCTGAAAAATTCTTAGAATTTAAAGAGGCATCGAACAAGAAAATTTAGGGATGGCGAAATTCTAAGAATTTGGCACTTGACAACGGCAAAAGTTTTAGAATGTAGAGAGCTACAGAATTTAGGCAGCGTAAAATATTTTAAATTTATAGAACATCGGTCAGTAGAATTAAGATCCCACAGCGATTGCACTGAGAAACAAATCGACCTGCTTCTCGATTATGCGGATGGACGCAGATTATTAACTTCCGAAAGCTCAGTGAAGCAAGAGCTATACATAATGCAGCTATTTACGATTTCTGCTATAATAAACTGAAATTTAACACTATATATCAGTTTACGAAAACATGATGATACTTTTGAGAAATTTTCTTTAATTCCCCAGTACACTAAAAAAAAAAAAAAAAAAGTACAATAGATTATATAAT